GAGCTGGCCGTTGGGCTTCAGGCAGCCCGGGCTTGCCTCGGCCTGCCTGCTCACACTCGTTCCTCCGCCGCCCTTCGGCATTTTCTCACGGCTCACGGAGCTAACGCTCAAACCCGTTAGGCCAAATCTGTTTTGTTCCCTCGTGCAAAACTGCCCGGTTCGGTTTTTACTAGGCAGAGCGTTACAGTTACAGTTACATGCTTGTGGACTCAGCTAAACCTCAGAAATATTAAGTACAAAAGCACAAATCTCCATGACTTTGTTTTGCCCTCAGTCTGAGCAGCTGAGGATCATTTAAAGTCACTTTGGTGGCTGGAGTTTCGTGCCTTTTGCTCCGGCTGATCTCAGCCAGCATCCATCTTTCCTCAGAGTCTTAATTGTGGAAATTCCTTATGTGAGGAACCCAATCTCCAAAGCCAGGCTCAGGTACCTTTAATGATCCTCCCCGGGATAAAATAGAGGTATTATAGTCCTAAGAGCAGATCTGGCTCTTAAACACTGCCCCCATTCATTTGTGGAAACGTCCGATTCCCTCTCTGCCTCCCTTTGCCCCCTTTGCCCGGTCCCTCCGGTCAGTCTAACAACTGGAGTCCCTGGCAGGCTGTTTCCCAGTTCCCCAGCATCTTTTTGCCTCTGCTAGCTGATTATCAGAGAGGAAGCTGGGCTGCAAAGTGCACGTTCCCTCCGTGGAAGCCGCATCCTTTAAGGACCCACATCCTGAGAAAAAGGTCAGCAGTTTTTTTATTTTCCTCTGCGCTCGTTCAAAGCTCTTTTCTGTAAGATAAAGATCATTTTCACGCACTTTCCGCTGTTCTGTGACATGGAAATGGTTTCAATTGAGATTAAAAAAGCCGAGTATTGCTTATCATGATTCATCTCACTGGCCTGAGGAAAAAAAAGCTGCTAAAGAAAGACTGATTAAGCTAATTAATTTTCCTAAAATAAGGCGATTCAATTTATTTTTTTTATTCTAAAGCAAAACGTTTGACAAAATAGATGTTTTATACACTTAAAAACTTGTTTTTTTGGGGATATTTTGTTCTCAAAGTGTTCAGACACTTGACTTTTCTCTCAAACTGAGACAATGTCAGACGTTTTCCCGGAAAGATTTGAGCTTTTTTCTTTGAATTTCTCATTTCAAACCCTCAAATATCAGAAGACAGAGAGCTCTCATTTTGTCCTACAAGAAAAAAGATTCACCAGCCGTTCAGATCTGCACAAAAAAGGCCATTTAGAGGAAAATGTGAGAATCTTTGTCCAAAAAAAGACACTCAGAGGAGTCTTTTTTTTTTTAATTTTGCTATCAGATATGGAGGTTTAGGAAATAGAGAAAAGACAAA